TCCCACTATGCAACCTTAATTGTGGACTCTTGTGATAACCATAATACCCTATCATACATCGCTTTTAAATTATTCAGTCCCTCATCTGTTTCAGTGCAGTGTACACAATTTATCCAGTTTTGCTCAGTCTTACCCCCCACCCTAAATTGGTAATTTATAATGTAGCTCAAATAGCACCGTCTGATTTTCCACTTATTTCTGTCCTCCGTAGCTACAAGAGCCAAATACTGATCGACAGCTTATTGAGACTTCTCCGGTTCTGCAGAAACTGACCGAGTTTGAGGAAGCAATTGGAGTAATTTTCACCCATGTTCGCCTCCTGGCACGAGCCTTCACATTGAGAACCGTGGGATTTAACCATCTGACCTTGTGAGTTAGAAGTGCTCCTGTATTCCCGGCGTGGCCACTTAGAAGAAGCAGTCCCAAACCTTTGCCATGTGATGCCCTTCAGGGAAACGGAGATTGCCCATGTTTTCAGGGAAGTCTTATTATTAGGTAGCTGGGCAGTCAGACCCCAGTGTGAATCAGGTGGGATGCTCCATTTTGGTATTTTTGGACCAGTTACTGGGCAACTCGTGGGGAAGGCAGTAAAAAAAAAATTGTCTTAAAATGAGCAAATGTTAAATATTTTCGGTTTGTGTATTATGTAGTCTCTTCCATCAATTCCGTTTAACCATAGGAGCACAACAAAATTAATTATAGACAAAATGTGAATGAATGAATATGGCTGTGTTCTATAAAACTTTATTTACAAAGCAGGTCATAGACTGGATTTGGCCTACCAACCAGTTCCTGTTCTTGATTAAAAATTTTAAAAGTTCAGCTTTTGGAAAGACATCATTTAAAACTGCCTTTAAACATTTCCTCACAAAAGCTGAATATAGACATTCCATATGACCCAGCTATTCCACTGCTTGGAATATACCCCAAGGAAATGAGAAGTGAGGCACGAAAGGAGATTTGTACACCAGTGTTCATAGCAGCGTTATTCACCATCACAAGAACACGGAAACAGCCCAGATGTCCAATGATAGTCAAATGGATTGAGAAGCTGTGGTACATTTCGGTACACATTTATGCACATATGGTACATAGCACGCCGGAGCAATGATTTTGAAATCACCGCCTAACTTGGGAGGGACTGGAGAGCATTCTCCTAAGTGAACTAACTCAGTCCCATCAGGACAAAGACTGTGTAAGACCATTATTGTAGAAATAGAAGGATAACTAGTAAAACACATATGAGGATCCAAGGGAGGGAGGATAGGAGCAGAGGGGTGAGGATGTATTGGGGGCCTAATCATAGAGTAGGGGAGTTCTGGTGGCCTAGTGGCAAGAAGCTGCACTACAATCCCAGAGGCGCATGGTTCGAATCCACCAGATGCTCTGCTGGGGAGGGAGGGACGGTCTCCTCCTGTACAGAATTTGGAAACTACAGAACAATCTCACTGATTTCACATACAAGCAAGATTTTACTGAAGCTTATCCAAAAACGACTGGAACAGCACATCAACAGAGAACTACCAGAAGTCCAGGCTGGGTTTAGAAGGGGTCGTGGTACTAGAGATATTGTAGCTGATGTTAGATGGATCTTGGCTGAAAGCAGTGAATACCAGAGGAATGTCTATCTGTGTTTCATTGACTATGCAAAGGCATTTGACTGTGTAGATCATAACAAACTGTGGCTTACTCTGAGAAGAATGGGAATCCCAGAACACTTGATCGTTCTAATGCGAAACTTATACTTGGACCAGGTGGCAGTTGTCAAAACAGAGCAGGGAACACTGCATGGTTCAAAATTGGGAAGGGTGTACGCCAGGGATGCATCCTATCTCCATACCTTTTCAGCCTATATGCAGAACAGATTATCCGGGAGGCTGGGCTCTATGAGGAAAAATGTGGAGTCAAGATTGGTGGACGATTTATCAACAGTCTGCGTTATGCGGATGACACAACCCTGCTTGCTGAAACTGAAGAGGACCTGAAGTGCCTGCTGCAGAGTGTCAAGGACTGCAGCCTCCAATATGAATTGAGGCTCAGTGTCAAGAAGACAAAGATTCTCACCACTGGACCAATTGGCAGCATCAGGATGGATGGTGAAGAGATTGAGATTGTACACAGCTTTAGTTTGCTTGGCTCTGTAGTCAACAGTCTTGGCACCAGCAGCCAGGAAATTAAAAGGTGCATTGCCATGGGAAAGTCTGCTGTTAGGGACCTCTCCAAAGTACTGAGAGCAATGGTGTCTCTCTGGAGATTAAGGTGCGTCTGATACAGGCTATGGTCTTCGCAATCACCTGTTATGCATCAGAGAGTTGGACAATGACCAAGGAAGATAGAAGGAGAATTGATGCCTTTGAGCTGTGGTGCTGGAGAAGAGTATTGAGAATACCATGGACTGCTAGGAAAACAAACAGATTTGTCCTGCAAAGGGTTAAACCGGGTGGCTCTTTGGAGGCAAGGATTCTGAGGCTCCGTCTAACATACTTTGGGCATGTTGTGAGGAGGGACCGGTCCCTGGAGAGGGATATCATGTTTGGGAGGGTGGAGGGACTGCGCAGGAGAGGAAGGCCCTCTATGAGGTGGATTGATCATTGACTGCGATATTTGGGATGGGAGTGTCAGAGACAGTGCGATTGGCACAGGACAGAGCGGAGTTTAGGGCTGTTATACATAGGGTTGCTATGAGTCGCAAGCGACTCGACGGCACATAACAACAACAACAACAATCATAGGGTCACACAATTTGATGGGCAGAGGGAGGGATGGGTAAAGGACATGAGAAGGATCCAGTGTAAAAACAATATGTATAAACTTTGTAAGTAAACCAGTATATGATAAAAGCTCTTTTTGGTTTTTTTAAAAAATACCTTTAAAGTTGAAACTAAAGACAATTTTCTAATGTCCCTCAGTTGAGATCTGAATCACTGAAGGTTGAATTTCAGACCTGCATGAAGTGAGCAGTATTTAAAGATAAAACAGCTGCTAAAATAAAGACTCATGATCAGTACTCGGTGAACCACTGAGGCATATCCTACAGTACAAACAAGAATCCTCACAACAGAACAAAAAGGACCAGGATTGTCTTTGCTCACCCTTTACTTCTCTGTTGGGATGTATAATCATTACTTGGATCTGAAATCCAGTTAAAGGACACTTTTGAAGTCCGTGATAAGAATCTTCCATTTATAATTTGAAGGGTCTTAAATTTTTAGTTTGCCGTTGTTGTTATGTACCGTTGAGCCACAACAGACTCAGAGCTGACCCCCAGTGGGTTTCAGAGGCAGGAAGTTGCTCCGGAAGAGATTGCCCAACCTTCTCCAGAGCCACCAGAGCTCACTGGGGAGCCAAAAAGTGACGAACACCCAACGTATGAAGAAATAAAAATTTAATTATTCTCTTAAGTATTTCACTCGCAGATACATTTTCACAAATCCTGTTTGTTTTTCTTAAATTTGCAAATACGGCCTGTTATCTGACACTGACGTTTTTCTTTTCAGAGGCCACAATCAGAGGATGGAATTCCTCGGTGACTCCATAATGCAGCTGGTCGCCACCGAGTACCTGTTTATTCACTTCCCCGATCACCACGAAGGGCACTTAACTGTGAGTGTGTGTATTAAGTCGCTCCCTCCAGTGTGAAGATGAATGTGAAATGTGAGCAAACACTCTTTATATAGAGGAGGCCAGTGTTTGGTGACTTAAGCATAGCACCAGACTATTTTCATTTCATTTTGTAAATAGTACACAAAGTGCTATGCGATCAGATCTCATTATTTTCTGCTCCTTCACTTAATCACCACCTGCTCCTGGAAGAACACTGAGCGAGGTTTTATTGGGAGTGTTCGGGCATAGATTAATCGACACCAAGTCTACTCGTGGAAGTTTAGAAAGCGTTAGAAGGAATGAGAAGTTTAAATGTTCTTGTTAGATGCCATCAAGTTGACTGTGACTCATGGTGACCCTGTGAATGACAGATCTGAACCTTGCCCTGTCTTACACCGTTGTCGTGCTCCCTTATCTGCTCAAGCCCATTATTACAGTCACTGTGTCAGCCGTCTGGAGTGTTTTCCTTCCTACCTCTGACCCTCCCCCTTTGCCAGTGTGATGCCTTTTCCAGGACTAGGCCCCCTGAGAGAGCACTGCTGGCTTAGTGGTGTGGAGTTGTTTTGCCATCTCAAAGGCTCACAGTTCAAATCCACCAGCTGTTCTGCGGGAGAAGGGCAGCCTCCTTCTGTGCCCTCTATAGCCTCTGAAAACTCACTAAAGGACCAGCTCTGGGTTGGGAGCTGCCAGGGCTCCCTGATAGAACATGTTAATTATGTGAAGGAGACCTAGGTAAATTGCTACACTTGAGCCTGTAGGAGAAGTAAGATTTTTCTCTAGCTGAGGCATTCAGAGAAGGCTTCACTGGTGTGATGAGTGAGCCGGACCTTTAAGGATGGGTATGATTTGGCCACTGGCTGTTGTGAGTGGGGGGAAGTTTTTGTGTGAGGGCTTTTTCACGCAGTTGGGGTGCAGAAGCGAGGGCACAGTGTGAAAAATGAGGAGGGAGAGAGGCAGCAGTGACTCATTTTGGCTGAAAGTTGGTGGAATTGAAAGGAGTTAGGAAGATAAAGTTTGATTTATGAACAAAGTGAAATGGTCCCCTTTCTTCCTCCTTTCATTTCATTTTACAAAACTTTATTGGACTTTCCTACTTGCTGCATACTGTTTTTACTCTGAAATCAATCAATAATAGAACCTGAGTGGTGAGCAAAACATAACTAGAAGCCAGCCGTGATGATCTCTCAAGGTGCAAGGATAACCTTTGAGAAGTCCCTCTAGAATTCTGCGCTGAGAAGGCAGTTACTTTCCTGGGCCAAGAAAAATCGCACTACACTGTAAGATAGCTTGTTAGTAAAGACTTTTCTTCTTTATTGCATTTGAAGCAAATACTGAAAGTCTTTCCTACTTTGCATCTCTATAGTTTTTACATATGCTTTTTTTAAAATGGGATTGGATATGATTCTTACAACTGAACTCTGGAAGCAGCTTGGATGAGACAGGAATATTGGATTTAGGGAGAATATGGTGAATTGACTATGTTTAGATAAAATTTTTTATGATATTTCCAAATATAAATTATGTTCGATCATTTATTCACTAAATATTTATTGCATTTCTACTATGTACTACTATGTAATATGTATTAGATTATTTCTAGTCTGTACCCTGAGCGAATTATTTGAGAAGCTGGACTCTAGGAAGAAGAATGTTGCATCAAGATCAGAGGAAGACGCATCAATAAGTTATGCACATGCACAACCTCACTAACTGAAAGTGAGGAGGACTTGAAGCACTTGTTGCAGAAGATCAAAGAATACAGGCTTCAATGTGAATTGCATCTCAATGTCAAGAAAGCAAAAATTCTTACAACTGGACCTATAGGCAACATCATGACAGATGGAGAAAAGATTGAAACTGGCAACACCTTCATCTTACTTGGATCCACAGTCAACACCCTTGGTACCAGCACTCAGAAAATCAGAAGAGGAATTGCACTAGGAAAGTCTACAGTCGGGGACCTCTCCAAATTATGGAGGTCAGTTTGAGG